CCATGACAATAGGTTCGGCAAATCGATTTAATTAACTCTCTTGCTCTTCATTTTCCCTACTCTCTCTCTGTCTCTCTTTCTGCAGATGACCAATGCAAGCACTCATTGGACAGCTGCGATCGGTGCCTTAGCACCCATCTCAGCTGTGCCTGGTGCACGGACAAGGTGCGCCCGCCATACCTCTCCCTGTCACTCCCCACTTGAATATTCTCTCTCTTTGGCAGACCTATGAGATGCGCTCGCGCTGCCTGTCTCGCGAAACTCTGCTCAGCCTGAACTGCAGCGAGGCGAATATCTATGAGAATCAGCCGCAGCTGGAGCTGCTGCAGCAGCGACCGCTCAAGGACTACGAAGCGCGAGACGAGCAGGCGGTGCAAGTAACGCCGCAGCGCGTATTCCTCAAATTGGTCAAAGGTGCGTATCTTATCACTCACTTCCCCTCATTCTCTTCTTGAGCTAAACTACGCTACATTTATCGGCGTATTATATATTAGTTAGCTGGAAAAGTGTGTCATCGCATTTTGTTTGCTTTGTTTATTTGACACAGGGTGTGTTTGTGCGTATTTATGTGTGCGTGTGTGTCTGTGTGTCTTCTTCTTGTGTGTGTGTGTGGCTTATCACCACTTCATTTCATATCTAAGTTAGAGGAATTATACGGCAGCGTGGGAATTTAGAGAGTTTATTGAACCTTCGTCGCTTACATACAGTGGACCTTATGGATCTAATCTGCACATAAGTTGGAAACTATTGTGAAGTAAAGTTAGACAGAAGGAGAGAGAGAGAGAGAGAGAGCGAGAGAGTAGACATCTACTACATTAGAGATTAATTCCTAATTAACATAGGAATATTTCGAAGCAGAAGTATGAGTGTGTGAAATAAAAATCCATAATGTTTGCCTTATTTTATCGTACTTATAGTATATCTGGTTATCATGTCTCAATTGAATGGATTCGTCATTTTTTGAACAACCTATCATTTGTTTTTTTGTTTTTTTAACCATTTTTAACTGTCCAGTTCTCGAAATTAGTTTCTACAGGAAGGAAAAATGCGATAACTGCATGATAAATTTAGCTTATACTACATTGGGGCTCAACTTATGATTAGCTAGGGGCAGATAGCTCCAGCTGCTTATTATCACAATGAGACAAGGCGAGAGATCATTCATTAAACTCTTAATGCAAAAGGAAAAACAACAATGGCATGAGTTGTAATTATGCGTTGGGGCAATTGTGGGGTTGAAGGATTAAAGGAAGGCAAACATTTAACATGGGTGCGAACAACTGCGTTCGCTAATGAAGGGCTATAAACTGGAGTACAGTGTAGTGCAGTGTGGTGGATAGTGTAATGGAATGTAGAGCAATGTTTAACTACTCTCGTCTGTCTGCTGTCCGTTGTCTTACGATGGCATTGCAGCCTATAAAACAGCTCGTAAATGGCGCACTTAACCCCTTGAGTTTACGGCCCGGCCGTAAACCCCCCTTTTGGCCCAACCCCAATCAGAATGCCAATTCGAATATCTTTTTTGGGGCAGACAACACGCAACGCATCAAGCTGAGCTATCGAGCGGCGGGCAACAATCCGCTCGACCTGTACGTGCTGATGGATCTCACCTGGACGATGCGCGACGATAAGGATACACTGGAGAAGCTCGGCGCCGAGTTGACCCAAACGCTGCACAGTCTAACGGACAACTATCGGCTGGGCTTTGGCTCCTTTGCGGACAAGCCGGAGATGCCGATGATAATGCCGCAGCTGCGGGAGAATCCGTGTGCCGCCGAGCGGGAAAGCTGTGAGCCCACCTACGGCTATCGGCACCATCTGAAGCTAACGGAGAATGTCGAGGCATTTACGGCGGCCGTGGCGGCCAGCAAGATAACGGGGAATCTGGACAATCTGGAGGGCGGCCTGGATGCCCTCATGCAGGTGATTGTCTGCCCCAAGCAAATCGGCTGGAAACAGCAGGCGCGCAAGGTCGTCATCCTGGTCACCGACGGCTTCATGCACTTCGCTGGCGACGGCCTCTTGGCGGGCATTGTGCAGCGCAACGATCGCAAGTGCCATCTGAACAAGGCGGGCGAGTATACGGGCTCGCTGACCTACGACTATCCGTCGCTGGAGGAGATCTACCGGGAGCTCTTGAGGCGCAAGATCAATGTCATCTTTGCCGTTACCGAGGAGGTGTTCAGCACCTACAAGGAGATGAGCGGACTCATGCAGGAGATTAGCAATGTCGAAATATTGAGCGCCGATTCATCCAATATCTTGGAGCTGATCAAAAAGAGGTAAGTGAGGGACTGTGAATATTTGTATTTCT